ATGCCAATTATTATGACCTCAGTTCCCTAAATCCCCCAGCTCTCAGGCTACAGGGCGCCACGCACTCTTAGATGCTAGGGTTTAGGGTTCAGTGTAAGGCTTAGAGTTGCAGCAAGGGTTTATAGGGTTCTAGGGTTTTCGTTTAGAGTCAAAAGTTTAGGGCTTGGGGTCCCATAGCCCATCAAACCCTGTCGCTCCATTCTAGGAGGCCGAGAGCAATCAGCAGAGCCCTTAGGGTTTAGGGTTTAGGGTTTAGGGTTTAGGGTTTAGGGTTTAGGGTTCAGGGTCTGGGGCCTTTGCGGTTGCAGAAATGGCAACCTTCGCAACAGAAATTTCGCTGTTGACTGAAGGCTTGAAAAACCCCCTACCACCCCCCCCCCCCAAGCATACAACCCACCCCCCCCCCCCCCCCCAACCAAAAAAAAAAAGGCGCTAACAGTAAAACCCCAAACACGAAACCTCATGAACCCTAAGCCCTGCACACCGACATTGCACAAGCCCAAGCCGCGAAACCCCTCAACTGTGAAAACCCTGTAACCCGAAACCAGAAACCCTCTACCCCTACACCTTCTGTCCCTAAACCCTAACCTTAGCCCCTGAACCCTAAACCCTAAACCCTAAACCCTAAATCCTAAACCCTAAAAACCCGCAACCCTGGCTTCTGGGAGTGTGTGTGCGTCTCTCGTCTTGGCACCCCGCTGCTTGATGTTCAGCTTGAGCCCTTCGGGGGGCTCGGTCACCACCTGGCGGGGTTTAGGGTTTAGGGTTTAGGGTTTAGGGTTTAGGGTTTAGGGTTTAGGGTTTAGGGTTTAGGGTTTAGGGTTTAGGGTGGCGCGGTGGGGGTCGTGGGCTTTTTTGGGCTAGACCTGTGAGCCCTAAAGCCCTGATAAAACCCTATAAACTCTCTCGACACCCCCACCCCCCATGGAGTCTCCCCCAAAGCCTTGACTGTTGACCCTCAAAACACCACAGACCGCAGGGGTGAGAGGGAAACCGTAAACCGAACCCTCAACTCTAAACCCTGAACCTGAAGCCCTAGAAGGGGGAAGAGGGGGAAACGCGAAGCCTGAACCCTGAACCCTAAGCCTGAACTGTAAACCCACCGCGATGCACAGAAGACAGGGGAATCCGAAAAAACACGCCTCAAACCTGAACCCTAAACCATACAGAGTGAAAGCGCTAAACCCTACAGCCTAACCCTAAACTCTGAACTCCTGAACCATGAACTCCGTGAATGCTGGCACACAAATGAACCCCACAGACCCCAGAAGTCCTTAACCCCTCAAACGACGCCTAAGCCCCCCGAAACCCTAAACCCTAAACCCCATACCCAAACCTAAAACCCCCTAAACGTTCTGTGCACTCACTCCATGAACATGTAGGGGCGCTACTCGGTTCATGAGGGGTTCCCTCATAGTGCGTTGGATGTCCCTGATCTCAGGGGCCGCCCAGAGGCGCGCTGCACACAGCGAATACTCATGGGCATGATGGGGGACAACACCTCCCACAGCCCACAGCGGCACCCAGTGCCTCTACCACAACCGCCAAAAATGCGGAGGGCAGTCGCTCACACCGTGAGTAAACCCTCCCTGAATGACCCACAGAGTCCACAGGAGTGTTAACGAGGACAATAAAAAACTTCAAGTCCAGGGAGAGGAGGGCGGGGCAAACGATTCTTGCCTAGGCACACTAGGCAGACTCTGGCACACAGAGTCTCACATTTTGGCTCGAGTACACTTGAGCCAACAAAGCAAGATACATGTTTCCAAACATGCTCACTGTAGTGACGCAAGAACGAAGGCTGTTCACCTAGCCTGCCCGAAGCACGAAACAGCGACACCCTAAACCCTAAACCCCAATCCCCAAAACCTAACCCCTAAACCGTTCTAACCCAATCTGTGCCACGAGCCTTGGAAATATCCTTACACACTTCATGCTAACTTGAGACTCAGGGACTCCCAAGTCCACAGGAGCGGTTTAGGGTTTAGGGTTGAGGGTTTAGGGGTTTAGGGTTTAGGGTTTAGGGTTTAGGGTTTAGGGTTTAGGGTTTAGGGTTGAGGGCTTTCTGCAGGGGAACATTCTTCGGTAGCGCCGTCTTTGCTGCGACCAACTTCAGAGACATCGAATTCAAGAATGCGTGGTCCTTCCCGAAGCGATCGTCAAGCAGCGTGATGACATGTTCTGCCCCGTCTACTTCCGCAAAGCGATCGTAGACCCTCAGCATCGTTTTGATTCTCGATGCTTTGAGACCGACCTTGCGGCCGAACCTGAGCTGTCACCACCAGCCAATGAGGCAACAATTGGAATAAGGTAACGCAGATGACGCCTTCCTAACTTAGTGCAAGTGGCCATGCTACTTTCGAGTGCCCTTGGTTCACCTTCACCATAAGCATGACGCATTGCCCTCAGAGACACAAACCCTAAACCCTAAACCCTAAACCCTAAACCCTAAACCCTAAACCCTGAAACCCGAAGTCGCCTTGAGGGACCTCTGTAGGATGCCCATAGGGAACGCACTTGTCCTTGAGATGCGTTTTGAAGGGCTTTCTTGGGCTTTGGGGATTAGGGTTTAGGGTTTAGGGTTGAGGTTTTAGGTTTTAGGATTTAGGTTGGGGTGAAGGGCTTGAAGTATTGTGGATGAGGTTTAGGGTTGGGGTTTGGGGTTTCGGGTTTGGGGTTGCGAGTTATCGGGTTTGGGTTTTGGGTTTAGGGTTTGAGGCTGAGGGCCTTAGGGGTTTCGGGCGTGGGTTTGGGGTTTGGGGTTTAGGGTTTAGGGTTTAGGGTTTAGGGGTTGGGGTTTCCGGCATTGGGCCTCTGAGGCCCTATAGGGTTTCCAGGGCTTATGGGGTTCAGGTTTTTACTTGGAGGTTCATGGCACTTAATAACCCACACATAACCATATTAGGACACTTGAAGGGCTTGTAAGTGGGTTATAAGTACAGTTACAATTGGGTTATAAGTACCATGAACCTCCAAGTAGGGACTAGAGGGTTTCAGACTTAGAGCGTGGGACTAAGAGCCTACCAGGTAGGGGCTGCAAGTAGGAGAACCCCCTTTCTATTGGGTTTAGGGTTTAGGGCTAGGGTCTGAGGGTTTAGGTCTTAGAGCTCTGGGTAAGAGCATAGTCCCCTCAACATGATCCCTTCCCATGTCTTGCAGGGTCCCGAAGCATCGGCCTTTGGGCTTCCTAGGGGAGAAAAGGTGTTTTGCAAGCCTCACTTCACTGTGGCATAAGGCATGCGCACGCTGGAATGCAGGGAGGTTCCTACTGTCAAAAACTAGCAGGGTAGCTTTGTAGGCTTCAAGGCTCGGAGTTCAGAGTGCGTTATGTTTGTAGCTCAGAGCTTACCACCTAAGTCACCACCCAACTCTAGGTCACTTTTTGGTAGTGCTTCTACTTGCAACCTGCAACTACGGGACCCCCCCCCCCCCCCAGTCGGCTTTTTCCAGGGAGATCATGGTGGGCGTCTATGGGGGGATCGAGATACCCCCTGAACCCTGATCCCTGAACCGGAAACCTCCTAGACCCTAAACCACAACGAATCGCGCGAGCCCAATGATTTCGGCTGTAGAGTGAATTTTAGTCTTTTTGATATACTCGCCAACCTTAGCCCACCTCCGAAAACCCCTGGACACACTCTGAAAACCTTATTTATATAAACCCAAACCCTGAACCCTGTCCCGACCCTGTAATCGCTCAATACAGAAAAAAAGACCTACAGAAACTCTAAAGAAGCTGCGCTCAAAACCCTACCCCTACACCCTAAACCCTGAACCCTAAACCCTAAACCCCAAACCCCAAACCCCAAACCCGAAACCCTAAACCCTAAACCTCGTGCTCTGCCGGGCTTAGCTCAGCACGGCATGGTTGTAAGCCAGAGCCGGAAGTCCTCCCGCAGCCCCGGCTTCTGAGAGCCCTTCTAGAAACTCAGAAACTCAGAGACACATGTGCTACTCTGAGATGAAGAATCAAAGTAACATATACACATGTGTTTTGCTTTTGTTTCATGGTAAGCAGATGTATGAATATCAATAGACATAGGTATGCAAAAAATATGTAGGTATACTATCTCAAAAGGAGGACCGGACTAAAGCCTGGACTCTACCTGGCCCCGACAAGTGGGTTGAGGGTTTAGGGCTAAAGGGTTTAGGGTTGAGGGCTACCTCTAAACCCTAAACCTTAAACCCTATAGGGTTTTAGGGTTTGGGGTTTAGGGTGGATGTCGCAGAACCTACCCGCTCCTTGTGCGGCTTGTGCATCTGCTCCAAAATCTTTTCCAAGGTACCTGGCACACAGCAGTGCCCTAAACCCGAAACCCCAAACCCGAAACCCCAAACCCTAAACCCCAAACCCCACACCCCAAACCCTAAACCCTAAACCCTAAACCCTAACCCTAAACCCGAAATTCACCTTGTCAACGCTACAAGACCAGCAACCTCCCGAAAACCCTTGCGAACCCCGGGAGTCCAACAAGGAGTGCCACCCTAGACATGGGTAGAGTACTATAAGGCCGCAGATTGAATTGCGGTGAGGGTTTAGGGTTTAGGTTTAGGGTTTAGGGTTTAGGGTTCAGAATTTAGGGATTAGGGTTTAGGGCTGAAAGGGCCCCTGTGGCGAACGCCTTTGACTGTCACACATGCGAACCGGTCCGACGACGCCGCCGTTGCCAGGCTTACGAAGCCTGTGGACCTGGGCGGGTATCAGAGTCATAAATTCAAAGAGACAAGTGAATTTCCATGTAGTTACAACTTGTTTGCTGAGTTCACAAACCCCCGAAAAAAGTGTACAATTTCAGTTTTATAGGGGTTATAGTATTCCAAAAAGTGTCAAGTGTACTCACTCAGCTACTAAGACATGTCCATCTGCCCGAGTTAAGCAAAAGTCCTTTCAACCAAGCAGGGCACCGTGGACTCAAAGCTCGGCGTTCTAGACAGGGGAGGGAGCCCCTCAGCCATCCCACAGCAACGCGCATCACCCGAAGGGCGTGGCCTTTGGTATCTCACCTTAGGGCTGAAATACAATAGCCCCACAAAGATTAACCTTTCTTTGTACTAGGATTTAGGATTTAGGGTTTCGGGTTTAGGGTTTAGGGATAACCAAAAGGGTTAAAGGTTAACTACCCAGCCACTAAGTCACTCGATACGGTCGGGATCCGTACCTCCCCAGGTGAGGCGGGCGTTCACATTTGCAGCATCGATGGCCCCTACCTCCTCTTCCATGAGGGAGAAGTCGAAGAGCCCCAGGTTCTGCTTCCTTGGGGTCGATAGGAAAGTATGCTAGTGGGATGATATAAATTCCATGGACCAGAATAACCCTGAAATAGTAGGACCATATCCCTTCTACTACTATAAATCTTGCAAGGCTTTGGACCATTTTCCTGGTAGTGCTTTCGTTTAACCCCAAGGTTCATGCGGGTGGGATCTGAAGACTTGGGGATCACGTGGCAGCCCTTCTGCGTGGCCCAGCGCAGCAGCACGGCCGCGGGAGCGGCGCCGTGGGCGCGTGCGGCAGCCTGCACCTAGGTTGCGGCTATAGGAATGAAATATCTAACTTATCAGAAATGGAAATACAAAAAAACTATATGAATATGCATAATTGCATATGTACATTGTTGTATTTGAGTGCTTGTTGACTTGCTGACCCTAAACCCTACACCCCAAACAGTGGTCGGCAACCCTGGCACCCCGGCGAGCGCGAAGAAGTCCGCCGCCCGCCGAGAGTCTCCGGAGCCCAGCGAGGCAAATGCTTGGAGGGCCACGCCCTCTTGCGCACAGAACCTAGCATGGTTTAGGGTTTAGGGTTTAGGGTTTAGGGTTTAGGGTTTAGGGTTTAGGGCCCTTGAAACCCTCTCAAACATATTCCTGAATATGATCCTCTTAAACCCAACAAGGGAAAATACAACATGTCCCAAGGGCATACCCCCCGAGGAACTCTAACAACTCCCGCTGCACAAGGAGAGGGTGGAACTCCACCTTGGTAGCGCAGAAACCATGTGATTATAAGGGCACCCTTTTTGGGGGGTTGGTTACTTTCTAAGGAAACCCAGAACCAAAAACCCAAAAAAGGTAAAAGGTACCAACCCTTCTTGGGTGGTTGATTCCTTTGTAAGGAAACCCAAAAGCAAAAACCCAAAAAGGTAAAAGGTACCACCGGACTACCAAGCCACTTGGTTGACCATGGGACGAACCTCACACGTCTCAAAAAGCTCCTTCAAGTGCCTGACGGAGAAGTTGCAGACCCCAATGGCCTTCACCTAGACCCAGGAGTGGGACCTAGGAATAACAAGGGCTGGTTAAGGGAGCTTCTTAAGGGAACCTAAACCTTAAAGCAAAAATCGGGGGGAGAATAAGGGCCTACTCTGGGTCCTAAACCCTAAACCCTAAACCCTAAACCCTAAACCCTAAACCCCCGAAGCCCATGTCCGAGTTACTCTGCCTTCCCTCAGAAGCCGTTCCATGGCCCGCCAGGTCTCTCGGCGCTGCTTTGGTGACCAGGACGCTGCGTTGCTGGGCTGCGGCCCGGGCCAGTGCACCATGTACCTTAGGGTTTAGGGTTTAGGGGTTGCTCGCGCGATCACGATGCTCAGCTGCTCCTAGATGGTCACACGAGCTTGAAGGCGGTTCTTGAACCTATACCCTGAACCCCTCGACCCTCGACCCTAAACCCGAAACCCTAAACCCTAAACCCTAAACCCTAAACCCTAAACCATCCAGGGCGCAAGTCGACGTAGTCGACGCCCAGCCGCTTCAAGGACTGGCTGCAGGCTTTCAGGGTGTTCTCGTACCCATGGCTGGACCTGTGCGGTTCAGGGTTTGGGGTATAGGTTTTAGGGTTTAGAGGTTGAGGTTTAGGGTTTAAGGCTTTAGGATTTAGGCTTTAGGGGGGTTCCAAGCGGAGACATGTACGTGGGTTCATCGGGATGTGAAAGCATATTAGTGGGATTATAGGGTTTGCTGTATAGGTTTCAAGTAGTCTGATTTCGTGAGGGTTACTAGAATGAGGGTTGGTATAGTCGTTGATGGGTTTCCCATGCGGTGCTAAACCCTAAACCCTAAACCCCAAACCCCAAACCCTAAACCCTAAACCCTGAATTATTTGGGGTTGACAGGGCTTGATCACAGTTAGAGGGTCCAGGTTTCAGCCCAGCCTTAGAAAGGTACAACATTCCATGGGAACCACTTGAGCAAATTCTTTGTATTACGGAGGTTGTAAGGGCCTCAATATGGTTTCGCATATATAACTTCTCATAGAGACATATTTGTTAATATGTGTATTTGACATGCATGCTCATATTCATATAGGCATCATGTTCGATGTATATCAGGGTTTGGGGAGCGCCCTTACTAAATCCTCAAACCAAGTGCCCCAAGGGCCCCCGAACCCAAAAACATCGACCCTCCACACTAGATCCAAAGCCTACCCCGACTACCCAACCCCCTAAACCCCGACTAGGAAACTTTTAGGCTTAGGGTGTTTAGGGTATTTAGGGTATTCAGGGCTTTTACCCTAAAACCCTAAACCCTAAACCCTAAACCTAAACCCAAAACCCTAAACCCTGAACCCTGGCGCCTCCACAGTTTCGTGGAGAGGAAGACCTCGGACCGCGAAAGCCCCGACTGGCGCAGAGCCGCGCCGACGCTCCTCTCGGTGTGGCCTTGGTCGTACACCTGCCGAGTTACGCGAGGTTACCAGAACCTAGAGGGCTTAGGGCTCAGGGCTTGGGGCTTGGGGCTTGGGGTTTGGGGTTAGGGTTTAGGGTTAGGGCTTGGGGTTTGTTGGGTTTAGGGTTTCGGGTTCAGGTTTCCGGGGCTTATAGGGGTTCATAAGGGTTCATAGGGTAGGGGTTTTAAAGGGGGTTACACCTGGGCTGATAGTGCCTTCGTGGAGTTTGTGTCTGTAAGAGGTGTATGTAGGGTTTTACAGCTTTCTGGCTTCAGGTTTCGGCCCTTTGAGGTTTGTTAGCTTAGGAAATTTGCCCTAAACCCTATACCCTAAACCCTAAACCCGAAATGGGTCCTAACAGGCATTCTGGCGTTGCCGGGGCTTGTCTCCAGGCAGCTGGGGTCCCTGTGTTATTATCGACTGCAAAGAGCCGGTTTGCGGGTTCCAGGGGTAGGGCATCGGGGCTAGGGTTTCCATATTTATGGAGTTTAGGGTGCTTCGGGCTTCGGGCTTTTTGGGCTTTTTGGGTTTATAGGGTTTATGGTTTATAGGCTGTATGGGCTTTTGGGTTTATGTTTTTATAGGGTCTATGGGCTTTATAGGGTTTGCTGGGAATTTACAGGCTTTTAGGGTTTAGGGTCTGGGAGGTGACCGGCACCGTTGAGTTTGTTCCGTCCCCGCCTGGGCTGTGTCAATCAAGCGGTAGCCGGCCTTGTCAGGAGGACTGCATGGAGCAATGCGAACCAGGATTTATGTTGGGCTCTTGACTTTGTGTATCTTCCTGGGTGTGTGTTGCTTGCTAGAGCTCCTCAACCCTCACCCTAGCCCTAAACCCTAAACCCTAAACCCCAAACCCCAAACCCTAAACCCTAAACCCTAAGCCCCCAACCCTTCAGCCTTCAGGGCGTTGGCCACGATGCCCTGGGCCATCTGGCGCCCGAGGCGGTAGGTGCCGAAGCCGCAAACGGGCATCGCCAGACCGTTTCCTGGATCTTTTTTCAGGGTTTAGGGTTTAGGGTTTAGGGTTTAGGGTTTAGGGTTTAGGGTTTAGGGTTTAGGGTTTAGGGTTTTAGTGGTCAGGGTTTCTCTTGCTGGTTTCCTAGTAGGGCCGCTTTTCAAACAGCCCCTGAAGGGATCATTAAACCCTAAACCCTAAACCCTAAACCCTAAACCCTAAACCCTAAACCCTGAACCCTGAACCCTAAACCGGGCTTCGGGTATGAGGATCCTAAAGTTGAAAGGGGCACTTGATGCCCCTCATTCCCTTCTAAGAGCTGCTGTTCTTCCACACTAGGATAGCTTAGCTTAAGGTCCGCAATCAGTTCCCTAAACCCCAAACCCCAAACCCTCAAACCCTGAGCCCCAAACCCCCCTAACCCTAGACCTCTAACCCCTAAACCCTCAAACCCTCAAACCCTCAACCCCAAACCCTCAAACCCCCCTAACCCCAAACCCTAAACCCCAAACCCTAAATCCAAAACCCTAAACCCTAAACCCTAAACCCCTAAACCCCTAAACCCTCAAACCCCTCAACCCGAACTCCGCCACCCAGACGCGGAGGCGCACGGCGTCCCTGGCACTCTTGGCCTGCGCCGGGCACCTGACCAGCGCCGAGCTCCCTTCTGCCCGACAACGATAACCCTAAAACCCTACGAACCCTATAAACCCCCTATAAACCCCCTATAAACCCCCTATAAACCCGCTATAAACCCCCTATAAACCCCCTATAAACCCCCTATAAACTCAATAAACTCAATAAACCCTCTAAACCCTATCAACTCTATAGGCCCCCTAAACCCGATAAGCCCTAAACCCCTAAGGCGTTTAGGGCTTAGGGGACTTAGGGGGTTTGGGGTTCAGCGCTTGAGGGTCTTCACACGAATTTCAATAACCCCCCCCCACCAAAGAAGGTTTTTTAGAAGGGTTAACAACCTAAACCCTAAACCCTAAACCCTAAACCCTAAACCCTAAACCCTAAACCCTAATTTCTCCAAGGCACTCCACCGAGGTCCACGAAGATTGCGAGGGCGTGGGGGCAGAGGAGGAGGATGCGGAGGAGGTGGTGGCGGGGAGGGAGGTGGCCTTAGCTGTCCAGCAACCTGGGGGAATTAAAGGTGAACCTTAATGGGATTTTTAATAGGGATTCGAATACCCCAAAAAGGATAAAGGTTGCCTACTCTACTACCCTAAACCCTAAACCCTAAACCCTAAACCCTAAACCCAAAACCCTAAACCCTAAACCCTAAACCCTAAACCCTAAAACCTAAACGGCCCTAAACCCTGAACCTACTACTAAGTGGCGGTGACGATCTGTGCGTCGCTGGCAGGCGGCCGGAGGTCCGTGGACTTGGGCTGGAAGAACCGCGACAGCTTTGGCTGCTTGGGCTGCTCCGGGTCCACGTCAGGGCCACGCTTCATGACTCCCGATCCTAAACCCTAAACCCTAAACCCTAAACCCTAAACCCTGAACCCTCAAGCACCCTAAAGCACCCTAAATAGTAAATAGCTACACAGCTGTGAACCCCAGCCCGAGCCACGCAGCTGCGTCACAAAGTTGCTTCGTCATCCCCTCCGCCCTTGTAGCTTTGTCTCCCTTGACTGTGTCACTGCCGTTTCAAGGATCATGGGTATGGCGAGAAATGAATGTTGAGGGCTTCAGGTGTTAGAGACCTACTTCTGAAGTGGCCCACGAGCCTTTTTATGTCGTTTGGGTGGAGTTGCGGGTTTTGTGTAAGCCCCTAGATAAACCCTAAACGCTGAGCAAGCAAGTCTCCGTCAACACTCACCAAACCCTAAAAATGTGAATTGCACGGGCAAAACCCTATACCCACCATGCCCAGCAAACGCACACCCTTAACCCTAGTTAAGCCCTAAACCCTGAGCCCTAAACCCTAAACCCTAACCCTAAACCCTAAACCCTAAACCCTACACCCTAAACCCTAAGTCATCCAGAGCCCGACAACCACGTGCCCGAGGTGCGTAGCCAGGAAGCCAAGAGGTGACAATTCTGCAGCATGACCTGGACAAAAAGAAGTTTTTAGGGTTTAGGGTTTAGGGTTTCGGGTTTAGGGTTTGGGATGGTTTGGGGGTCCAGGGTAGGTTTGTAGAAATCGCACATGACGTATGGTACAATCTCTTGTTGAGTCACAACAGCCTTAAGTAAATCTCATGTACATGGTTAGGAAGGTCTTGGAGCACCTGTCCGATTCAGCGTCCTAAACCCTAAACCCTAAACCCTAAACCACACAAAATGAACCTAAGAAAACATGGGCACACTGCTAGTCTAAAGAATGGCTACAAACCCTTTTTGACTTATTTTTCATTCAGGGTTTAGGGTTTATGGTTTTGGGTATAGGGCATAGGGTATAGGGTTTACGTCTTCTGTTGGAGTCACTTTCCGGAGCGGTGCGACGCAACTTCGTGGACGCAAGACTGCTTACGCGAACGGCGCTGGGCAACCCAGTAGGCTTGCAACATCAAATGTTCTCCCAGGGTTTAGGGTTGGGGTTTTGGATTTAGGGTTTAGTTTAGGGTCTAGGGTTGGGATGTTCCCCCGTATACTAAAAGCCTTCATTAGGGAGTATAGTAACCCCTACTATATCCCTATTAAGGACTGTTAGTATAAGGGGGAACATCCCAACTTAGCACCCTCAAGGGAAGAAACATAAACTCTATAAGCCCAAAGATATCTGGACCCTAGAGTATCCAAGGAATGAAAAGGGTGCCCTTTTTGGTTTAAAGAGGCTTCTAAACGAACCTAAACCGCCCAAAATGGGAGTAAGGGGCTTCTAAAAGGGAACCTACACCCCCCAAACAAAAGGAATAAGGGCCCACTCTGTGTCCTCAACCCCTAAACCCTAAATCCTAAAGCCTAAATCCTAAAACCCAAAACCCTAAACCCTAAACCTAGACACCGAAGGATATAGCTTGGGCCACCCGGCCCAATGACCCCGCTGGTAGCCAGTCTCGATGGTCTGTTGGGCCACGCCTCCCATACCCTGACCCAGGGACACAAACCTGCGGCGCAGCAGGGATGGGGATTAGGGTTTGGGGTTTGGGGTTTAGGGTTTAGGGTTTTTGGGGTTTGGGGTTTGGGGTGTCGGGTCGTAAAGGTTAAGAATGGGTAGTTGCAAGTAGAATTGCAAATGACTGTACTCGACAATACTGCAATACTGCAAGGTCATTCCTTGTTTTCACCCCTTCTTCTTCTAGCTACCCATGAACCTTGAAGTAGTTCCCAAAACCCTAAACCGTAAACCCCTAAACACCTACACCGCAAAACCCGAACTCCGAAGCGCCATTAAGCCCTAAACCCCTAACCCCCAGGTCTCCAAAGTTCACGGATTCCGATTGAGGCGCCGTGAAGAAAACTCGCTTGGGGGGGTGTGGGGGTGGGGGGGGGGTGTTTAGGGTTTGAGGATTTAGGGTCTAGGGTTTAGGATTTAAGGTTTAGGGTTTAGGGTTTAGGAGGGGAGGATTGACGGAAGTCATGGGCCTTCTGTCAGGACGGCTTCCAGGTTGGCAGTTTAGGGTTTGGGGTTTAGGGTTTACGGTTTAGGGAGAAGCCTGTTGTTTGCCAACGTTTTCGGGCTCACGCGTTCTTAACCTATGAGGGAATGTGAATCATCTTTTTGCGGTACCTGAAGACCACCCAATACCCTAAACGATACGCCCCTAAACAGCCTAAACCCTAAACCCCAAACCCCAAACCCTCATGCCCCCCTTCGAACCTTTACCTGTTCAGCCCTAACTGTTAAAACCACAATAGCCTAAGCCCTATAAACCCTAACCGTGCAAAAGAACCCTAGACCCTACACCCGAAAGCCCACACCCAAAACCTCAAAAAGCGGAACCCTGAGCCTTATAAACCCTCTGGGCGCCCTGGCTTGAACTTACTTCCCGAGAAGCCAAGCTGATCGCCCAACTTGGCAACATCCTCGGCGGGTCTCCGACGTTCAAAGGGTAGCTACATGGTGCCTTAGTATGGGCCCTGAAAAAAGGACCCCGTATGTGCACCTTATATATATATATAATATATATATATATATATACTTAGACATACCCTATACAACCCAAGGGCACATACTTCAGAACCCCTTAAAGGAGGTAAGGGGCCAAATTAAGGCTCAGACTAGAAGCACCCCCCCCCCCCCCCCCCCCAAAAAAAAAAAAAGAGACAACTCCGATATCACTCCGCCAATGTCTGTAAGGAGCCCTGCATACACTCACCGAGAAACCTTAGAATGACCGCTACGAAACCCCACTATGACCCGTGTAAGGGGCCCTATGGACACTCATCCGAACGAACCCTGGCTTTATGAGGATTATGGAGGGATTAGGGGGTCTAAAAAAATCAAATCACCACTAAACCCTAGCCCTACACCCCAAGCCCCAAAACCGCCTAAACCCGACCTCCCCTTCGGGGTAGGTTTTAACCCTTATACCCTAAACCCCTAGACCGCTAGACACACTAACACCCTTTGTATGAACCCTACCTCCCCATGGGGGGAAAAGTTGCGGCGAGCAGCGCTTTGCGGGTCAGCCCCGGGAGACAGGATGAAGACAATCGGCATGAATTCGTTGGACTTCCTGGGCGGGCGGGGGGGGGGGGTCGTTCGTTGGGGGTTTAGGGTTTAGGGTTTACGAGGTTAAGGGTTTGGGGGGCTTGGGGTCTTTCTTTTGGGGTTTTGGGGCTTCGGGAATTAGGAGTGTAAGGGCTGTGCTAGGATGTATGGGAGAAGCTGGCTGTTCACCTGTGAACTTGCTCGGAAGTTGCGTTTTCTTCTTGCTGGGGAGGGGGTGGGGGGTGGGGTAAACCCTAAAACCCAAACCCTAAACCCTAAACCCAACAGCTGCTTCACAGTCACTCAAAGATCTTGTCGTAGACCAGCGAGGGCGGCTGCACGTAGTAGTCACTCAGCCTTGGGCTCATACGGGAGTATGGCATGGGTTTCGGGTTTCGGGTTTCGGGT